GAAGGGGAGCGAGCGCCCGGGCCGGGCTCGGCCCCGTCCCCGGGCGGCGAGCGCCGCTCGCCCCGGCGCACAAGCCTCCTTTGTGCGAGCGCCGCGGCCCTTCAGCGGAATCCACCTTTAACAGGGCGAGGAGGAAGAAACCGCGCAGACTTCGCCAGCGACTCTGCAGCGTGCCGTTATGCCGCTCACTCCCTAGAAAACGCTTCCCGCTCCCCCACCCCAACCGCTTTTTTATCTTCCTTTCTCTTTTTAAAACCTTTATCTCGCAGATTTACGGAGCTGCTCCGAGAAGTAAAACATGTATTGTCTGAACAGTTTGGTTGGCGATTAAAAGTGCATTTCAGATTCCATTAAGGGCATGTAATTTATGAGATCACGTTTTCTGCACCGAGAGGAGAAAATACACTAGTACTTTTCATTACAGGGCAAAATTAAGCATAAAGAAGTCGCTCGAAACAAACTTGGTATCTAACACAGAAAGATTTTCAATGTGAAGAAGGGGGGGACGGGACACCCAACAAACTCTGCGTCAACTTTCCTCTTGCTCTTTAAGATGAATGCACAAGCGCTAAGGCGACCCTAGCATCCACGCAGTTTCATTGCTACACAACAGAGTTTCATGGACACTTTCAAAACAAACTCCATCGCTGAAATGAAATTAAACGAATCTACGTTTTGCTTGGGGGTGTGCTTACGGTTTTGGGTGTCGTTTGCCCGTTCAACAGCCTTCCTTAAATAGGCATTTCGGGGGTTGGGGAAGAGAACAGAAATAAAGAATTTTAGGAAACTCTAGGATAAGAGAGGGTGTTTCAAGGAACGGAAAAAAGTGCACAAGCTAAAGGCGTCTTCCAGTGTTTTAACAGGGCTAGAGCTGTGTGTTCACATTGTTAGTAATAAATTTGATGAATTAATAGAGTTAATCTAGTTATTTTCACCCCGAGATTTTCCTCAGCTGTGTACTATCTACAGAGACAGGAACAAAAGACAGGCGGAACTAATTTCTAAAAATCACCCCCCCCCAACCGATACAGATGTTAAATAATCGGGGCGTCCCCCCCCCCGCCCCAAAAAAAACGATAACTGGCAACCCCGGGATTAAATGCCTCCTAACCACCACGTACAAAATGAATTCTGACAGTCAGACAGACGAGCTTTTTCCTCTCGAAAACCAGTTCGCTTTTCGTCTTAAATGACCGTGTCACACTTTTCAGTAGGGATGAAAAATAAAACTAGCAAGGTGTTAACAAGGTCTGAAAGGCAAACGATACTCCGAGATGAGAGGAAGGCGAACTTCGCCCTAGCCCTTCTGATGAAAACTGCAACTTTTCTCCTGCCCAGCGCAGTGGAGTAATTGATTGTTGGGGACAGAGCGAATCCCGGGCTTCCCAGGCGGGAACTGAGCGAGAAAAGCAAGGCGAGAGGCCCCTTTCTGCAGCAAGCGGCTATCGCCCCGTTCCTGAATGCATTCTCCTAGCCGACCCTCCGAGAGAAATCTACCCCCAACAGCCAGCCTGGTGAAGTCCGCCTTCCAGAGGAGGACTCGGGGCTCAGGCAAGAAAAGGCGCTGTTACCCAGGGGTTACCACCCGGCTCCAGAAAGCATCCGTACGCGAAAGCATCTCCAGG